ATAACAGCTACTGTCCTGACGGGAATACTGATTGGTGATATATACGTTCAGCTGTCGTACTCTGTCATGGTGAGGTGCTAACAGCTGTAGCTCCAGACATTTCATACTTTCTGATCTTCTCCACAGCATCCGTAACTGTCTTCTTAATGGTATCACCTACTTCACTGTCATCTTTACGCAGAATAATAAATGACTTCTTTACACATACTGAAAGGTATTGTGAATGTTTGGTTAAACTAAAATATCTCTGTATAGCTCTCAAATTGTGTTTTGACAGTTAAGAGCTGCATAAAATGAGAGAGCAATATCATTTTTTTTCTATTTTAATAACGTAAATGCACAATTAAGCTCTCTTGTTATTTTATGCGATTATTATTTTTTTTTATAAAATTAAGTTTTTTTTTAATCAATAATTTAACAACATAATACATAAATTAATAATATTTATCATTTAAAAGTTAAAAATTTGATAGTGATTTCATTTCTCTATGTGTAAATCGATTATATAATCATTTTAACATTTTATAAAGTAAATATATATATACGGATATGTTCATAGAATTTATATGGAGCAAATCTAATATACTTATCTTAATTTATAACAAGTTAATGACTTGATGGGCATATATATGAAACAGATTATGAGATAATATAGGTCTTCATGTAGTTTTAGCGTTAGCTTTCGGCAATATTTTCAATCCTCATCCATCTATTGGATATTACGTTTAAGTTACCAAAATCTGGAAACCATAATTGAAAACTCTAGGCTATGTCCGTCACACGAATGTGGATCAGTTAAGTTATTGGAAAATGCCAACTTTTCGATCGCTTTCGACTCCCTAAGGGTATTACTAAAGTATTGCCGCCTGTAAAGCTTTCTTTCCCTCTTTACCGCAATGTTAAGCAGAGAAACGTACTCTGCAGTGAAGTGTAACTTCAAAATCGCATTAGTAATTCTTTCGTTTCTATTTTTTTTACCTGAGGGATTTTGCTTAATTAAAAGCAAATCCAGATTAAAATAAAGGTATTAAATGTTTATATAATTCAGAATAATTTAATATAGAAACAATAATAAAATAACTTAAGCTTGCATTCCAGTTCGTGTCAAAGTACATTAAGTAAAGAATCAAACAACGTGGTTCTCTTTCTAGAAGAGAATATCTTTTAATAATTTCTAATGGATTGTAGCCATAAATACAACAAATAGAATTTTAACATTCAAATCAATTATACTTAAAGCTTTTAAATGATTAATTACAAAGGAAAATGTCGGAAAAAAAGGAAAAATTATAAAATTATCTTTGAGAGATAATTTTTCAGAATTTAAATATTAAAAAAAAATAATCATTTTGTGACTTTTTTAAAGTTAAAAAAGACTATTTTAGCTATTCAAAACGCGAAAATATTGAATTCATAAGTATATAAATAATTATTCTAATGACATTTGTAATTTTTATTAATAGCCGGAAAGATATTTTTTGTTAAAAATATCAAATTTAAATTTATTTTTGATATATTGTAGAGAAAAATTGATTACGAGTTTAGTAGGAAATTCTTTCATCATATTAGAAAACCCGCAAACAATAGAACTAGATATGTATAGAGCTAATAACACAATATCAATAGGCGAAGCAACGAGAATCCAATGGGGATGAGTAATATATAGTAGTTCATTGTTATGAATAACGTTAAAAGATAGTGTTATCAGTAACGAATGAGAACAGGTATGCCCGAGGTGGGTGGCTAGTAGGACAATAAAGAAAAGATTGTTACAGCACAATTCAACAATTGCATCTATTTCTTTACCGGGAGGTAAGCACAAACAACGATAGAGTAGAAGAGAGAAAAAAAAACTTTACGATGTCTTCTAGTTAGTGGAACAAGGACTTTATGTTGCAACCCAGCTCCAGTAGGCGTATAAGAAAGGTGCTGTAATTTTGGGACCTAGCAGAAGACTATAAAAGATCTGAAGGTGAAGAAGTTTGGAAAATGAAGTTTTCTCGCAAGATATTTGTCTCGAAAACCGTACAGATGATAAATTTAAGGATCTAATTCTACTTCATTGCATTTTAGTTTTATTAAAAAAGTACACAAAATATGTGGGAGAGAGATAAGATTAGATTAGATAAAAAATAAATAAAATAAGGATAGAGGAGGAAGATAAAAATAGCGGATATTCATTCCCCTTGAAGGAATTATCTAGTTTGATCTATAAATGTTTAGAGTAGTTTATGCTATTTGGAACAGTTTATGTTATCATGGGAAGATTCTTTAGGGTAGGATGACGACCTCTTGTTTTTACTCATGTTAGAGGTTTATTAGTGAACAGGGAATGTGCATTACTAAGTAGAAACTGAATGAAATTCAACTCGAGAGATCGGTTTTTCTATCTACGAAAAGTAGCTTGAAGATGGGAACTGCATTACGTATCATTGGATATGATTGATAGAACTTATCTAATCCTGTTTATCTGAATAGTTTGTGACGAAACTCGATATATCCTACAGCTGGATGCTGCAGGAATTTTATTATGTAGCTACGACTTTGTTATTGCTTCTTCTATTAGTGCAACGTTGGTTTTCTTTATATATTAGCGTATAATCTATAAATTTATGCGAAGAAAACATTCATTCATTCGCGTATTTTTTCATTTTCTTGATATACAGAAATAATAATNACTTTGTAATCTTTCACCATTTTTTTTCCCCTATTTTTCTTTAACTTAAGAAGGAAAAAATAAAACAAAAATAAAATTTATATATTGTACAGTTAATTTGCTTTCTTAGTAAGATTTTCAATAACATTATTTAACAGTAATTATTCACAAAAAAAATTATTTTTAATAGTAAAATTTGCGCGCGGAATTATATTAAATTATAAAAAAACACATCGTCTGAAGAATTAGTTAATCCAGTATAATCCCTAATGTGTTTATAGATTTAAACAAAGCTTACTAATTTATTATTAAGTTTTACAACTTGAACAATGTCATTAGACAATGGAGGCGAAGAAAGGACTGTTTATTGCTCGGTACATTGAAGACAATATAGATTGCTGTGTAATTTGACGGTGATAGAGACTTTGCCGTTAATGTCAGAAGCTCAGACCACAAATTTTGTTACCCACACTTTCGATCCGTCTGGTTAGTGTAACGATGTGAAAGGAATGCTTTTATTCAGCATTTATTCTGTCACACCTATCTAAATAGACAGTTGTCCGGTAAGAACATAATTTATGAGTTAGAATGGAAGGGATAGGGAAAAAAATATTTCTCTATTGTTGAGAAATTTATATATTATATCGATAAGGAAGAAAAGGGAAAGAGAAAGCAAGATTTTTGTGTGTCTGCAGTTGTAAAGAAAACCTTTCGTTATGTCTTACCAGTTGAGAAGGAAGATTATGGGTTGAACAGTGAAGAAAATGCAGGATTATTTGTAAAAACTTCTATTAAAGTCAACTGAAATTGTTTCGGTAATGATTATAAATTCTATGAAATTACAATCGCAAATGTTTTAATAGTTATATTTACTGTATAAATTTAATTATTTTAACTTTGTAATTATGTGTTTTATTGTCTCAATTTAATTCAATTCGATAAAATTTTTATTTTATAAGGATTAATTTCCAGTTACATTTTAAGAAAAGTTTATATAACAATTGTTCGTTTTATAACAGTATTTTTACATCAGTTTCTCATACACTTTCTACGTATAATAATATGACTACATTAGTCTTATACAATACAATTTTAGTTATTCATTTACTTAATTTATCAGTTATAATAAGGAACAATTTCTCCCATTACCTGGGGTTAGGATACAAGGTTTACATAGCAATTGTTAATTCTGTATTGTCTCAAACATATAACAGACTAGAGATTTTACTATCAATATACATCTTGAAAAATAAAATATATATTTAGTATAATTACAGAATTGACCGTCATGACTCTGTTGTTAAAGGAAAAGTATGATGTACAGGGGGGAAGACACTGTTAATTTGAAATCGAGATGCAGCTCGGCATTATAACGGTGTCACAATAATTTTTACTCGTATCTATTGTTAAAGACAAAAGAGATCAATATATTTTATAAATTCTGCTGGAAAATTACGAATAGCAAAAATTACAAGCACACATTTAATAAATTCGTTAAAAATTGATTAAAATATCTGTAATGATTACAAATAATCTCATTATTTTGGAATAATTCTTAACATTCTAACAAGATATTTAATTATTTAATCTTAAATAACTCTCATATTTTATTGCTATAAAAGGAAATAATTCTGAGATATTATCATCAATTTAACCATAATTTTTTATTTATAATTTAAATATAGAATACATTGTACATGAAAAGATAAATTTATGTTTAATGCTAGATTTGTCTCTTATCTGCTCTTAAGAGGAAATTTATGATTATAAACTATAAATTAATGGATATATAGCATGTTAGAGAGCTATTCATTGTTAATAGAGGTATAGCATGTTGGAATCAATCGCATATTACTATGAAAATTGTTAAATAGGCTTTCCACATTTTGTTAAATTGCTAAAGTTTTATTTAATAAAAACAAGGAACTGATCTTTGTGTAAATTATTTTTTACAAGAACATAAAGTACATAAGTTAGTATTATAAAATATTATATAAGATGTAACGCGTTAAATTTGTAAATATTGCAAGAAAGATTAAATTCATACATGCAAATTTTATTAATATAACAAGAAAAGAAGTGTAACTTTGTAATCTTTCACCATTTTTTCCCCTATTTTTCTTTAACTTAAGAAGGAAAAAAAGAAAAATAATTAAATTCTATCGTTATTTTTCGAATAGAAGAAGTGTATAAAGTTTTAATGTCCAGTTTAACATAGCTGACCGCCATAATTCTGTAGACATCACGTGTTGGGTGATGACGGCCTGACACATCTAGACGTAAAGACGAGAGCGCCTGCGTATGTCTGCTCCATCTAGTGGGAATCAAGCTATCCAGACGAAGCTGCCGTTAACACACAACCTGCTCTCCATCCCAGTCTGAGAGTTGTACATGATCGAATAAGATTCTTTAACATATAGTGGAATATTCTTAAAAGTGTTCGTTCACATAATTAATCGTACACAAAGACGTTTGTGTCTTCGACATATAGGACTTCGTATATCCTATTTATAAACCTCATGCCCTGTGTTACTAGTCAGCTGATTTGGTCTATGACACCATGAGAACGATTTTAAGTTCTCTTTCTCCTGGACTTATTCTCTTAACCTTTAGATGGATGTGTCTTGTGGCTGAAAATATCAGCACACCTCTCGAAGGTAAGATTTAATTCTGTGGTTGTTTAATCAATAAATATTCTGACATTAAATAAATCTGAAGAGTCGTATCTAATTTCACGTTTAACTATCAGAAAAATTGTATGGATATATACGCAATTTATTTATTATCACTCGGCATCAATTTCTTTGTTAATTTATTATGACGTTTAGTTTATTGAGGCTTGTGTTTACTTGTTGACTTTTATCGTTTCAACAATATAATAATGGGACTAAACTCATTTATAAAAGTAATTTTAACATCTCACTCGAAAATTTCAACAATATTTCAAATGTATATTTTAGCGTATAGATGATGATAAGTAAGGGAAAGTTTATCATATTTTTCAAAGACATTTTCATATATAAAATTCGGAAGCATTTCTATATTATACTCATATTCAGAGTGGTTATCCATGCAGCATCTCTTGTATAAGAAGATGACAGTTTTTCATCTTCAGGTATTTTCGCAGACAGCATTTTATCTTAGCCAGTTTTCAACTGTAAGTAGTACTTAAGTTGAAAGTATGTGGGAAACATGAATCTTCATTTAAAAAGGTGAGAAAAGTGCTTGAAGCAAATTGCATTCAAAGCAATTTTTACAGTATCGGAATGTGTTTAGAAAATTGCTTTTGATGTTGCTTTCTAATGATTTCGTGTGATTTATATATATTTTTTTCTAGTAGTTGAATGTTTTAAACGGTTGTTTAATCAATTTTACAATATATATATATTTTTAAAATTTTTGTTTTCATCAGGAAACATCCCCAAACTCAGTCTAATGGAAGAGAGTTTTTATAGCATGAAATTAGTAAAATAAAATTCCAACAAAGATAAATAATTAAAATTAAATTATAGAACGTTTTCCAATAAAGCTTTTGTAATTTGTGTGAAGTTTAAGACAGTAATTTGGCTTCCAACATCAGATTTACTGTCATTTGGATTGTGTCCGATAGACATTGAAGTACTTTAGATGCTTCAATCTATAGCAAATTTTTATTTGTTTTTCAATAGTTTTGGGAGAGAAAAAGCCGTACAAAATCCTGTTTAATTATAAGTAGCTAGTGGAAATTATTAATTTTTCTTTGTTTTAGTTACACTTAATTGAATACAGGAAACGTTATGATAGCAACGATAGTTTATTCATATCAATCATGTCTTCGGGATCTAAGGAAGGAAAAAAAAAGGATTGATGGTCACATAGGAAGCTTTAACATCCCTAATAAGTGGTGCTGGATATTTATAAGAGAACATATGGATGAAATCATCGCAAGTTACTATAAAAAACCTACACTAAAATATAGGAAAACTGGAAAAACGTGAATTGTAGTCACGCGTAAAGTTTTACCGNAGATACATTCTATATAAATTATTTTATACAAGATGTTTAAAATGTATTAATAAATATTTAACATTCCGATAGTCTGTAAAACGATTTCTATTTAAAAAAAAATTATTTTTAGAAAAACATTTTAAAATATTAAATAACAAAGTTAATGCTACTACACGACGTTTCTTAATTAATAACGACATCTTCAAACTATCAACAACAGATTCTTGGTTAGTTTCTTTGGTGTATCAACAGAACGTATCCATTTTCGATCGTTTTATATACAACCCGAGCATGAGGATGCATTTAAGGACTTCATTAACTAAACTACAGACGAAAATGATCTTTAAATACATTTTAATATGAGAAAATTACCAGTTCGAAAAGCGAAAGATAATCTGCCTCGAGTAGAATAATGTTAAACAACATAGGAATCCCTATAATGGATGATAATCTATGTCGATTCAGCACGACCCTTAAGGCATCCACTCCACTTTGCTGTACGTGACTTAACATAGAAAATTTCAAACCGGTATCACTAGATAAATATACTGCAAATAAAAGGACTATGATATTAAAGGACATTGTTGGAGAAACATTGACCGCTCTAAGTTGGCCTGAGAGCTATGATCCATGATTTGTTTTATCCGTTGTCAAAAAAGACGTGATTTCGTCTGATCATCAGCTTTCTTTCAGTTCTTAGCTAAAAGGAATCAAGGGATTTTATGTGCTATTCAAGCGACACATGTTTATAAAATATTCAGCACATATATTCTCACATCTATCATTGTGGCAGTAGCCAGATTTTCCCCCTATTTTTGATCTAAATTCTTATTTCTTTATATCTTTAAAATATAAAAATGAAAAGAATTTGATTGTTTTCTTTATATATATACTTTTTCTTCTTTCCTTATCTTTAAAAAAGAAAAAAAATTTGAATTTCATACGTAACTTCAGCTTATTAAATTCATCCAGATGAACAATGTATATAAACCATTCACGATCGATATTTGTAAATTAAAAATTCTTTAAAAATTTAAATTAGTTGATGTTTTAAATATAATTAACATGCATTCTCATTAACGTGGCCAACTTAATGAGAATTTTAAGTATCCCTGATCTTGATTTTATCTTTTACAAGAATTTCTACTGCATTAAATAATTTACAATTCAACAAAAAACATTATATACACACATATATATGCGTGTATATATATATTTATTACTTTAATAGTCCTTATAATATTTAAATTTATTCGAAGAAGATTAAATATTTAATTTTTAAATTAAAAAATATACGGGTTTATGTCACGAAAATTAAATACTGTTGGATTTTCTTCATTATATTAGGGTAAGAAATAGGATACGTTTAGAGTTCCCTCATCCGAGCATAAACAGGATAGCAAAGAAGATTGAAGCATTCCATCTTCTTCGACCTTGTCTAATGACCACTGCTAAAAGCTTCATTGCCTTCATTGGCGCCATATTGTCCGCTATCTTCGCAATAAAACAATCATTTCTATCATCCTATATCACAACTAATTGTTAATTTATTATAGACGAGTTAATCATTATCAACTCTCTCTTATATCCTACTTCATTTTGAATAATAATAATTATAATATTAATAAATCTTCGTAATTAATATTATCAAAATTTAAATTTACTTTTTCTTCCAATTTTAATGATGTTTTATGGGTGTTAAATACTATAAAAGTGACAATTTAAGCCATTTATAGGGAGTATAATGTATAGTTTTTACGAGATGTAACAAAAGCTTTATATAAATTTTATAGGGGAACGGTTGTATAGAAAATAAAGAAAATTAAATCAGAAATGTCGTGGATCTTTGGAAAATAAAATGGAGTTCAAGTATATGGAAATTTAAAATATAAAATAAGATAAAATAACACGATTTGGTAGAGAGATTTTCCAATGGAGAAAAGACAATTTGATGCTGATGATAAAATATGCAAGAATTTGTAAAAGATTTTACAGTAANTTTATATATATATATATACATATAAAATTAAAAGTTACAGATGTTTGTGGAAGAGGAAACTGCACAAAATCGTTGCTAGGAAGAGTGAAGTATCATTTGTCAATCGAGAAAATTACATAATATAATGATTATTCAGATTGACTGATCATTTTTCATTGATGGAAAAGTAGTAGTTTGTTTACAGAGTAAAGGAAAATGATACATACGTACGACATACAAAATATAATTTCGATAATACTAACATTAATTTTTGAAAGGCGACAAACATCAAATTTTGTCTTTTGTTATTATTATATTTTTTTTTCTAAACAAAACTTAGTGCATTTGTCAGATTAAATGAACGATAAGAGTAAGAGTAAGAGTTTAGTAAAGCTACATCAACGGTTTTACTAGAATACCTGTCAGCAACCGAGTGTCAAAATGATTTAGAACAGGTGATGTTGCAAACAATGAAATTCATTGTGTCGTTTTATCTATTGGACTAGTTATGTTGTCCGCTTTTATCAACTAATGTGTTGTGTGTGTATGTGTGTGGTATATAAGTCTAAGCAGAAATGTAACGACATGTTTGCTATTTTAGGTTAGAAACATAAAAAAATGAAAACTGATCTATGATGGTTATATATATAGAAAGGAGAATTCGGGCGGTTTAAGCTAGTTTAGATGCACGCAAACTTAACTTTTAACTTTACATTTTCCTCAAATGCCAAAATAAATTTTTAAAAAATAAATGTTTTTTTTTTAAATTTCTAATTTAATAAACCTTTAGCCTAATTAACTTTACTGTTCAAGTTTTTTTTATAATTAATGTAATTGATCTGCAAAGTTTCTTTATAGTAAGAGCGCTTGTTTAATGTGATTAATGATATTTTTCCGATTTTGATACGAGATGAAATCTCATCCGACGTTAGATCTATGCCAGTAATAGCAATTAGTCTCGACACAGGGACCCTCGTTAATCCAGCAAAACCCTTTTAGTTCTCATAGACTCCCCTTATCGATTGTTAGATCCTAGTGTCTAGCTATTGTCCGCAGACATCTTGACTAATAGCAGCGGAATAAAGGCGTCAATCCCTTAATCGCCTACATATGTTGTATCCTTTTATTCATGCAGTATGTAGGCTAATTTTATAAAAATGTGCGCCTACAAAAATAAAACAAAAACTTTAAAAAAAATTTTCTAAAAATTACCCTTAAGGTATTCCATCCTATCACTTAACAATGATAAAATTTACGTTTTATGGATTATATAAATGCTTTTAATTATTAATGAAATTATTTATTACGTAGCTTCGGGTTATTTTTTTTTTATTTTATTAAATATTTTTTAAGGATATTTTCGTTTATTAATATATTTAAAGCGAGATTTACGACGTTAGGTTATATTTTTCGGGGGGGAAAAATAAATAAGATTTTTATTTAATTTTGTGGGCGTATTAAAATAAACAATAAGAAAACAAAATTTTTTACGAGCAATGAAGCTTTGTGCTGTATAACCATCTGTTATTGAACTGAGATATTCTTCTAATGGTTGTAAGGTAGTTAAGGTGGGACAAAGGGATTTGTCGCTTACCCTAACGGCAATTTAACCTTAAAATTTACAGCTGGAATTTGTCGACGTTGAAAAATAGTAGTGTGATCTTCGAAAAGAAAGAAAAAGGAAATATATAT